GAATTTTAAAATTATTATATATATATATATATATATATATATATATGTATATTTATATATATATATATATATATCTCTATTTTCTTTAGACATATATATATATATATATATACACACACCATTTTAACGGTTGTCTCTGCTAGCAGAATCATGAAATTAAAACCAAATTCTATATTCAAGGGGCAAAAGATAAAACTGCTCTTTCATTGTTCTAAGAGTCTATCCTATTCGTTGTTGTTTTCTATCCCCATAGATTAAAATCATGACCAAAGGCCGAGAGTTAATCCATTTACCGGAAATGAACAGCTGGTAGGCACTGGCCCTACATTTGTGTTCTTTAACTAGTCCAGGACTCAAAGGCTAGGGGGATTTATATGAACATGATTTGGGAACCTTGAGAATTCCAAAATGACTGACATCCATGTCCCTCAAATCTAGTACACGTTATTCATAGGCTATTCAAGTGTACTGAAGCGTGTCCAGCATGCAGGCAAACGTCTTTTACTTGTTTCAAACTGAGGTAAAACAGACAAAAAATACTTAATATTAACAGAAGCTGCATAATTAAAACGAACCTTCTTTTGTTGCTTATTTCATAAAAATTGATTTTTAAGTTTTCTCACAGAAAAGAGACTCTTTATAAAGCCAATAATTTCTCCAATTTCAGTCACCTAAAAATAATAAGCTTCTTCGTTCAAAGCCATTATTACTAAAGAATATTTTGAAATGAAGGAAAACATTTTCCCCCAGAATCTGCATTTTGTACTTAGCGTGATACAACTTATTACTTTATTTTTCAAATCTAGAAAGAATTCAAGTCTGAGTACTAGTTGATATTTTTCAGACACAAAGCAATACCGACGGGATTCATAAATATGATTTTCTGACAGATGGGAAAGTTTGCTAACATTTACAAAATATCAACAACTCTTCTTTCAAGCATAAGATGACTGAGACTTATTGTTATGATTACTTTTTCAGTACAAATATGAATTTAAATCTTGATTTTTTTGGCCAACATTTTAAGTAGTCAAATTTTATTCTACTTCCAAGTTTCAAATTAAAATAATAATAAAAAAGCAATGAAAATTACCCAACTGGCAACAAGTCCCATATTTCAATGTTATTTTTAACCCAACAATCATAACCTACTGCCAGTAATTATTCCTATGTATTTACTGATTCTTACTAAAGAAGCACTGGTCAGATATATCAAAGTGTAACTGCAAGAATGGTACTTGGCACTGGATTACCTTAATGCTTCTGGTATAAAAAGAAGCACTCTTAAGCACTTTTTTCATCTGCAATCTGAATTTCCAAAAGCATTTTTAAACTGTTAATTTTGCACTGATAGATTCTAGGGAGTCTACTCCCAGCTAACATGGTTGATTTAAAAACAAAACAAAACAAATAAATCCCTAAGCCACATGGTAATGGAGTATTACACTTGCTTTTTATATCATGGAAACAGTTCTAGGCAGACCAAAAGTAGAAGAAAACCTGCCAAATCAAAGTACTGTAAATAAATTTCATCTTACACACCTCAGAGCAGAAAAGCTCAAAAAATCAAAATTGTAAAATAAAAAAACCACTCCCTGCCCCCACGCAAAAACCCACCAAAAACACCTGAATTCTGAGTCTAACGTTCCCCCTAAAATGTTAATTCCAGAAGCTTTAAGGTACTTCAACTGTGCAGTGACTGTTGAAAGCACCACACCAGGGAGGAAATGCTGTAAAAGGGGTCAGCAGCCGCTCACCCGCCCCTCACCACCCCCACCCCAATAAAATGTAAAAGCCCCTGTAAAGTTTTTTCTTATGCTAATAAAGGCATACCACCTAGCGTGCTAAAGACTAAAACTAGCCGCATTAGAGCAGTAAAGTGAAAATAGGAAGCTGACAGGAATGATCTAAATGCCTACTTAGAAGAAACAAAGCAGCAGACAGGACCCTTTGCCCTCTCATCATGTTTGTAGGGAAGTGGTTGAATTAAACAGATTTACCCACATTAACAAAAAATTAACAAAGCTTCCCCAAGACACCAGAATAAAACCTGACCTTTCCAGTCAAAGGGCACAGAGAGGACTCTTCCATGTCCTGAAGTTGAATGAGTTCAAAGACTGGCAATAAAGGCAAAAAGAAAGCATTAGGGGTGTGATGTGAACAAGCTCTGGAGTTAGTTTATCGAACAGTCACACCAAGTTTCTCCAGCACACGAACACCCTTTTCTTGGTATTCTTGTCGGGTCATCCAGAAGTTGTCTTTGTCCTTCATGATATCTGCTAGAACAGCACCACCCAGGAACACCATATGCTTTCTGCGCGGTGGGTCTTCGATGCGGATCTTAAATTTCTAAAGGAGAAAGACAAGATCGTAAAATGTCACAAGTGCATCATGCTTTCTGCTTCATGAAGATGATTGTCTCATATATTCTGCTGCTGAATTCCCACAAGTCCTGTGATGTAAGTAGGATGGCTTGACTTTTTATCTGAAGTAGACATTTTTGGTAATTTGCCCAAAGCTCAGACCAAGGAGATCACTCAAACCATCCCAGTGTGCTGATTTACACCTGTTCCCCCATCGCTATTAACAACACCCCTTGTCACTCTCAAAATTGTCTTGATGTGAACAATAAACTGCACAATCAGCCTATTGAGAGCCCAAGTACCAGAGTCCTGATTGTGGCAGGTTTCTTCACCTCCTGGGGATGACCACATGAGAAAATCACTTAGATGTCAAAATCACTTGGATAAGAGGACTTCTACGGTTTCCTCAAGGTCTAATGCCTCTATGATTGCTGTCCCATGTAAAAGTAAGATTGGAATTCTTTTCTTATAAGCAAAGCTCACTTTCTATTGTCTCAAATTCAAATGAAATGTTCTCAAAATAAACAAAGCCAAATATGGTCAAATAAACCGTGGAGATGCTGGGGGAAAAAATGAACACAGTAACCAAAATTAGACAAGTGGAGTAAGTTTTACACTCTGCAGCCACTATTGATTGTCTAATAGAAGATACACCTCAAAGTGTGATCATTCCATGCCTGAAAGAAAAACCTTAAAATGTCATAGTTCAATTTACTGTGTCACAAATCCTGCAAAAGGACTCTAAGTCACTATGTCATTTTAGATTGTCTCCACATCACATAACCCAATTGTAGGATCAGGTATAAACACCAGTTTACTTACTTAAAAAAAAATAGGCCTGGCTTTGTCGCAATAAAACTTTATTTATACAAACAGGCAGTATGATACAGGCCTGAAGGTCAGCCGCCCTGGCTCTAAGGGAAAGCTGGTTAGCCCCTGAAGGCACTGCGGTCCCTGCAGCTCTGAGCGGGCTGCTGTTTCTCTCACACCACCTGGTCTGGTCACACCAATTCTTGTTCTCCACTGCTGCTTCTCTCTCCCTCCTCCCTGCAACTCCCAAGTTGAAACTCATTCTTTTTTTTTTTTTTTTTTAAGATTTTTATTTATTTATTTGTCAGAGAGAGAGAGAGAGCGCGCGCGCGAGTGCGCGAGCCAGCACACAAGCAGGGGAGCAGCAGCCAGGAGGAGAGGCAGGCTTCCCTTGGAGCAGGGAGCTGGATGCCGGACTCGATCCCATGACCCTGGGATCATGACCTGAGTCAAAGGCAGTCGCTTAGCCAACTGAGTGAGCCAAGTCCCTTGAAACTCATTCTGTCAGACCATTCCAGCCACCACTCCTCTTTGCCAAGTCACCTACGGGAGCCCCGGTGCATTTCCTCTCATGCGCGCTCTTCCTGTGCGTGTGTGTGCTCTCCCCACTACTTCCTGGTCTCCTTTGTGACTTCATCCTTCTCTCCCTCTCACTTCATGAGGCACACCTTGGACTCAGGGGACCACCTCTCTTCTCTGCAGCTGCCCCCAAGCAACTGAACACGACAGGTTGGAAACTGCACGTCTCGGCTGAACTGCATCACTTCCTTCACTTGAGCCCCTTAGTGCAGCCTGGCAAGCCCACGGCATGTGTCTTCTCTCTTCTATTCTTCAAGAACACAATTTCATACCTCCTCTATCTCATGAACTTCCACCACCACCTCCCTCCCTCCCAGCCCACCACCTTGTCCTTCTACAGCCTTCTTTCTTCCTCCCTCCCCCACGCCAGACTCAGTGATCCCTTAAAAACAAGTCAGATCCTATCACTTCTCCGCTCAAAACCCTCCCAAGGCTGTTTCACTAGGAGTAAAGCTAAACCCTTCACCATGGCTGACAGAGACCTGCATCCGACCACCTTTCTGACCTCACCAACCAGGCCTCCCCCTTACTCACTCTGCCCCAGCCATACCTGCACATTCCTGACAACCCAAGGCTTTCATTTTGGGGGGGCGGGGTAAAATTCTATTTATTTTTTTGACAGGTAGAGAGAAAGCAAACAAGCACATAAGCAGAGGGAGAAGCAGGCAGAAGGAGAGGGAAAAGCAGACTCCCCACTGAGGAAGGAGCCTAAAATAGGCCTCAATCCCAGGACCCCGGGATCATGACCTGAACCGAAAGCAGATGTTTAACGACAGAGCCACCCAGATGCCCCAACCCAGGGCTTTTGCACCTGCCATTCCTTCCTGGAAGATTCTTCCCACAGAGGGTTACACGGCTCACCGGCTCACTCTATTCAGGTCTCTGCTCAGAACTGATCTCCTCAGGGTCTTCCCGTGACCACACCACATGAAGGAGCATGCCACCTCCCCAGTCACTACCACTTTCTAGCCCCTCACCTTACTTTCCTTTTCTTCATAGTGCTTATTCCTACTGACATAGTCACAGAGTAAAAGTGGGGACCTGGTTTTTATTTACCACTGTTTTGTTTGTTCCAGCAGCTAAACAAGTGGCACCCAGAAGCAGGTCAAGAAATATTTGCCAAGTAAGGAAATAATCACCTGAGATTAATTTTAAATTATATGTATGACAAAAAAAAATCAGACAAATAAGCAAAGTACTTAGACAACATGGTTCCTTTTGAGTCTTTTAATTTATTTAATATATGTGAGTCCACACTCCATTTTCACAATTTAGTGATAGATGAAAATGTGACATTAGTATCTCTGATATATATAGTCCTCTGTAATATGTAATCTCATTATCTACAACAGCTGATCAAAGTTGTTGGGACAGAGCTCAGAGATTAACTTAGAATTAAATGACCCTGGCTGAGTGCATAGTATATATAGTGTACTTCGCACACTCCAGTGTTGATAAAAAAAAAAAAAAAGTGTCAAATTCCCATCAGCTATTACCTTCTAGTTTGTAAATTACTTTCTATTCTATACATTGACAACTACCAATTAAAGTCTGTTTCAAGAGCAAGGACAGCTGATGGGGATGCAAAATATTTGCTATATTATGTTTTACAATCTTTTTAGGGAAGTAAGATGTATACAAGAAATAGCCCAGAAAAATAACCCAGAATCAGAAATTTGAGACAGTCCAAGAGTAGCAATGAAGGCTGGTTACATATCCAAAAAGTTAGCTAAAAAGAACCCCAAAACCCCAAAGGCATTTCTCTCTCCATAACACAGCAGTCACCCCTTATCTGTGGTTTCAGTTACCCATGCTCTGGCAGCAGATGATGGCCCGGCCAACACAGCACTACATCACAAGGCCTGCGTGACTCCTGTCACCTTATCTCGTCACGAAGGCATTTTATCCTCACATCACCACAAGAGTGAGTATAGTACAATCGGATATTTTAACAGAGACCACATTCATGTAACTTTTTCCAGTGTACTGTTGTAACTGTCCTATTTTATTGTTGTTGTTGTTCATTTATTCCGGGCCTAATCTATGAATTAAACTTCATCATAAGTGTTCTTGTATGGGGGGAATCAGTATTATCTGCGGTTTAGGCATCCACTGGGAGCCTTTGAACATATCCCCACAGAAAAGGGGTGGGGGAAGGAATACTATATGGCAGGTTCTTCCTGTGCCCTTAGAAGCACCTCGACTCCAGGTTGTCTGTTACAGAGGAACCAGAACATGTGGCCTGGGACCTCACTGCCTCTAGCCACTGAATACAGAGGTGACCAGGCAGGACAACCATTCTGAAACAGAGCTTACCTCGAACGATTTACTTCTATCTCTTCAAGGCTGCATGCGACTTCATTAAAAATTTGTTTAGGAAGACTTCTTGCTCCCTCTGGTGGTTGTCAAGATTCACAAGCTACTTTACAGGTTTTAAAAAGTACGTTAACAGCTGGATTATTGACTGATACTTACAGAAAGTTTTTCCACATCTCCCTTTAAAACTCGTTCTAAGTAAAGCTGTTTAAGTTCTCGTTCCAACCGTGATGGCAGCCCAGGGTACATGGTAGACCCTCCAGAAAGCACGATGTGCTTATAGAATTCAGATCTAGAAAGACACAAAAGGTATTCATTTGGGGTTTCAGATGAGAAAAACAATCTTTCAGCATTCCTTTTATATCTATCAGTTTCAAGGGACTGCTGGGAGAATTAAATAAAATTCAACATGGAAATTGCAGGGCTGAACGTTTGTTATTAATGCTGTTATTAGATAACAAATCCTCTCTACATGTAAAATACTTATTATAATTTTAATGAGAATGCTTCTAAAGCACATGACACATTGTCCTGCAAATATAATTGAGACTTTTTAAAAAATATATTTTTATTTTTCTATTGAGAGAGAGAGAGAGAGAGAGCAAGCTGGGCGTGGGGGAAGAAGGAGAGGGACAAGCAGACTCTGCACTGACCTCAGGGCCTGACGTGGGGCTCGATCTCATGACCCTGAAATCATAACCTGAGCTGAAATCAGAAGAGTCAGATGCCCAACTGACTGAATCACTCAGGCACCCCTGTAATTGGGCATTTAACAATGACCAGAGTTAACATCACAAACTTCCACTATTTGGACTATGTATGTCATCACACTGCTTCCTGGAATTTACCATAACTAACCATTTTCTACTATGATTTCAGTTGCTCTTCCAATTTTTCCATTTGCCTTTTGTACTTTTTCCCTTTTGTTCCTTTGCCTTGGAACTAGCTGCTGTTATGTCAGGTGAGACTGACGTGTTTCCTCGTTACAGAAGTCTTCTCTTTCTTCTTTAAATATGCTACCAGTTATGATACCAGATAGTCAAATCTAAAATAACTGCATCCGTGGTAAGAGTAATAGAACTAAGTGAGGGTCTGAGGAACTCTTCTAGTGAAGTTCAGGAGCTGAGCCACAGCTATTTTGGCCTTATCCATCCTGGCTTCCAACGGCTCCGCCTACCATGACCCCAGCTTACAGAAGCGTGCGGCTTTTACGCCCACTTGCAGAGCTCCGCACACGAGTGTAGCACATGCAGTTGAGCTATGGCTCCACATGGTCCGTTCCCACGAGCATTTACAGGTACACCTTCAACATGCAGAACACACGGAGCTGAGCTGTGCTACTTCCCAATGCTAGCTCTGTTGTAAGGTCCTGAACCGGACTCCAGTGCTTTGGGAATGCCAACACTTCAATCACCACCAATAGGTATATACTTTTTTTTTTTTTTTTAAGATTTTATTTATTTATTTGACAGAGAGAGATCCCAAGTAGGCAGAGAGGCAGGCAGAGAGAGAGGGGAAAGCAGGCTCCCCACTTAGCAGAGAGCCGGATGTGGGGCTCGATCCTAGGACCCTGAAATCATGACCTGAGCCGAAGGCAGAGGTTTAACTGTCTTAGCCACCCAGGCGCCCCTAGGTATATACTTTTGAGTCCAATTTTACTATTAACGATCATTAAGTTGAGGGACAAAAGCATCTACCTAATCCCTACTAAGAGAGATTTAGATTTTTGATCATCTCACACTAAGTTTATAGCTTGTTATAAGCCAACTGCTTGCTATTTTTATTACTTTTCATTATTACCCTGCTCCTCCACCATCCCACAAAAATTAGTTTGATGGTTATTTAACCCAGGGTTAAACAGACAAGTAAGCAAACACTTGCTTTTTACAAAATGCTTCTGAGTGAATTCCTCCATAACCTGGGTGTACAGGAGGGCTGTTCAACTATGACTCAAACTCTGGATGCAATAAAAGGTTATCAACTTATTTAATAAGTAAATAAAAATTTTTGTATGGCCAAAAAACTTGAGACAAATGGAAAATCAGAAAAAGTACCTGCAATAAATATCACAGAGCTATAATATAAAAAGAGCTTTTAAAAAACTGAGGGGGAAAATTACAAAAATTCTACAGAAGCAAAAGCCATGAACAGATAATTCACCAGAAAAAGACAGAAACAGCCCTAAACATAGAAAAATATGTTTAACTTCTCTCTTACGTAAAATACAAATTGAAACTACACTGAAATATCATTTCACTCATCAGACTGGCAAAAAAGTTAAAAAGTTGCCAAACTATGACCAAGCTGTGGGGACACACAGGTGCCCTCATCTATTTCTGGTGGGAAGGAGAAGGGTCCTAGCAGTAACAAAACTACATGCATTTACTTACCCTCAGACCCAACAATTCCCTTTAGAAATGTTTTCAAATTATACATGCCCAACAGTACAAAAATATACTGTGCACAAGGTTATTAACTGCAGCATTATTTGTCTGCAAAAATACTGGCATCTACCTACGTAACCCAGATTCACCGAATGTTATGTATACACTGGGGAAAAAAAGGACAATCTCTAGGAATGGTACAGGATTGTTTAGGATATATTAAGTGAAGGAAGTAAAGTGCAAAAAAGCATTTATACTAAGCTACCTTTTGTATAAGAACAAGTAAGATACACAGAAAGGACAAACCCAAGCTAATGAGATCATTTACCTATAACAGGGAGGAAGACTAGGGTAGAGAACAAGGGGCTGGGAGAGTAATACTTCAAAATATGCTTTTCATATAGTTCTGACTAGATGGTAAGGTTTTACCTACAAAATTAAAGCTAAGGCATGACTATCCTGTGCCACAAAACAGAATGTGCTCAAAGAGATGAGAGCATGTCAAAGGATACACAGGTGTGTTTGAAGGGGCTCTCCCTGGCCAAATCAGGAACAATTTGAGCATCAAAATAAACAAAGACAGTAACAGATTATAATCACTGGACAAAATCATGAGTTCACATTGATAACAAGCAAAACAAGGCAATGCGCTTCCTTATGCTGGAATGCCAATTAATAAATATAGAAAGAATGACAGAATTAGAAAATTACCTTTTTGAGAGCACAATAAAAATGGATTTAGGCAAGAATCATAAACAATACTAAAAGGGGTCGGGGGGGCAGAGTTTAATGAGGAACAGGAGATCAATACAGTCCCAAGGTACTTTCCCACAAATTACTTACAAACTAAGAAAGGAAAAATACAAAAACTAAACAGAAAACTTCAAGAGCTTAATCCTAACATCACCAACAAGGAACAAAGAGATCTCATCTCTGGATGGGACACCCTGAGAAGGACACATCACTTCAGTAGTATTCCAGCCCCAAATGCATAAGCTGGATCTAATCATGAAACAACCTCAAACTCAAGTTGAGAAAAATTCTCTAAAATAATTGGCTTGTACTCTAAAAAGATGTTGCTGTTATGAAAGCCTGAAGAATTGTAACAGATAAAAGCTAAAACACGACAACTACACACACTGTGTGAGCTTAGACCTGATAATCTCCTGGGGAAAGGAAAAACTGTATAAAGGACATCACGGGGACAGTAGGCGAAACTGAAAAATGGGTGGCAGATAACAGCAGATCAGTAATCACTCTCCTGAGCTCAGAAATGGCACTGCAGCTAGTTAAGAGAATACCTCTGTTCTCAGGAAATACAAAGCAAATATCAAGGAGTAAAGAGGACTTACGTGTTCAACATACTCTCAAAAGGCTCAAGAAAAAAGAGAGGGAGAATGATAGAATAAACTTGCCGAATGTTAAAATTAGGAGAATGAGAAACTGAGTAAAGAGTATACATGACTTCTCTGTATTATTATTGGAAATTTTCCTTAAGTTTTGAATTATTTAAAAAAAAAGTTTAAGGTGGTTTCTGAGACCCAGTGATATATAGCCAACATCAAATGTCACCTTCAAAAAATTCTTTTGCCTTATCTGTTCAAAACCATGAGTGAAGTAATAGACAACTTAGTCACTTTAACTATACATACTCTATCTATTGATAAATAACTTTGAAACCAGCACTTATGATGTACCTGGTATCAATGTCAGCTGCCTGGATTGTGTTAAAAAGCAATTCGGCAACACCTACTCCCTCAACATTGATCAGGTGAGGCTGAAATAAAGCTTCTGGTGCTTCAAATCTCTCTCCCCCAACTTTGATAATGCGGCCATCTGGGAGCTAGAAACGAAGAATAACCAGGTATTAGTCAGCAAAACATATTTAAAAAAAATTTCCCAGTGTTCTTTAGAACACTAGTACTTTAAACATATCTGTTCAATAACCAAAATCATTCTGTCAAATAAATATACAAAATCTTAAAAAAAAAAAAAAAAGGAAGCATCAATAAACCACTGCATTTGGATTACTGGCTGGTGTCAATGCTGTTTCTCTGTTTTAACACATTTGTGGTTTATTTTATGGATATTTTTACTGTGTAGCATAGACACATTCAGTTAAAATTTTTAAATAATTTCTTTTACCAAATAATTGCACTGTGAAACTTTACTGTTTTGCCATCAAAACAGTTTATATCATGTGTAAAACTTCTGTCAAATCATGTAATCCAAAAAATGTTTTATGATCAGAAAAGTTTAAGAAACACTGATAGATTACTGTAATATATACTTTTTTTTATTTATTTGACACAGAGAGAGACACCAAGAGCAGGAACACAAGCAGGGAGCCCAATGAGGGGCTTGATCCCAGGAGATGATGACCGGAACCAAAGTGAGATACTTAATGAATGAGCTACCCAGGTGCCTCAAGATTACTTTTTATTAAGCAGTTCTACTGTATCCTACTTACTAGACCCTATTAAAATTTTTTTTTAAAGATTTTAAGTAATCTCTACACCCAAAGTGGGGCTTGAACTCACAACCCCTCACAAGACCAAGTCACATGCTCTACCAACTGAGCCAGCTACACTCCCCTCTAGATCCTATTAAATTTTAAATAATGGATAATATAATTTCAACTTAAGCAAATAAGATTTCTTACTTAAACAATTTTATTTATTTATTCCACAGAGAGAGACACAGCGAGAGAGGGAACACAAGCAGGGGGAATGGGAGAGGGAGAAGCAGGCTTCCTGCGGAGCAGAGAGCCCAATGTGGGGCTTGATCTGAGGACCCTGGGATCACGACCTGAGCCAAAGGCAGATGCTTAATGACTGAGCCACCCAGGTGCCCCAGGATTTTTTTTAAGAGAGAGAGCCCATGCACACAGGGTCAGGGGGAGTGGAATAGGGAAAGGGAGAGAATCTTGACCAGGCTCTATGCCCAGCGTGCAGCCCAACACAGGGCTTGCTTGGTCTGCTGCTCAATCTCACGGCCATGAGAACATGACCTGAGCTGAAATCAAGATTCGGATGCTTAACTACTGAGCCACTCAGGTGCCCACAGAGCAAATTAAGATTTAAACAACAGGTCAGATATCATTACAACATGACCCTATGTATGTAGAAAGTCACACATCATGTTCATATTTAATTAAATGAGAAATGATAAGTAAAAACTCCCATTTATTTATTAATATATTTTATTATTTTTATTAATTTATTTTTTAATGTTTAATTTTTGAAGTAGGCTGTAGCCCAATGTGGGGTCTGAACTCATGACCCCGAGATTAAGAGTTGGATGCTCGACTGACTAAGCCAAGTAGGCAAACACCAAAACCCCCCCCCCCTTTTTTTAAAGAGAGAGAGAGAGTGTGTGTGCACATGAGCTGGGGGGGGCAGGGGTAGAGGGAGAAACAGACTACCCTCTGAGCTGGGAGATGGGCTAGGGATTGATCTAGGACCCTGAGATCACGACCTGGGCTGAAGGCAGATGTTTAGCAGACTGAGCCACCCAGGTGCCCCTCCCCTTTTTTTTTTTTTTTTAAAGATTTTATTTATTTATTTGACAGAGATCACAAGTCGGCAGAGAGGCAGGCAGAGAGAGGGAGGGGGAAGCAGGGTCCCTGCTGAGCAGAGAGCCCAATGCAGGGCTCGATACCAGGACCCTGGGATCATGACCTGAGCCGAAGGCAGAGGCTTTAACCCACCGAGCCACCCAGGCACCCCGCCCCTCCCTCTCTTAAAACCACCTCACAATTTATTGGATTGACCTGAATTATAAGCATGCTGGTGTATGCTGGCATTTGACCCATTTCCATAGGAGACACCAGAATTAGTCTTACACTGACATGTCTCACAGTATATTTATAATAATATGACTACTGTAATTGTATTTGGATTCTAAAAATGACTTTCCAGTATGACCAAGTACCACAAAGCCAAGGTTTTTTCTTAAAACATTTACTCCATGTTTACAGATAAATGCAAAAGTAATCACATTTTTCAAAACCTCCACAAACTGTCTTTTAATAAATTATATCAAATTAAAAAAAAAAAAAACCACTCAAAAAACAAATAACCCCCAAGGATACTGATTCAAACAAATACCCTTAAAAAAACAAAACCCATCAGGTGAGTTTAGAAACCACATGAAATCACCCAAAATATCTGGAAAAATTTTATACACAGTACACAGTTATTGGCAAAACCTCTGTAGCTCATACTTCAGCCTCTCCGAGGGTGTGGTTTCTTTCCATACTCTGGCTGCTGGTCAGCATGGGGCCACCTGGCCTAGGAGCTACCAACCTCTAGACCCTACCCTACCTATTATGACTGTAGGATTCTCATTTTTTTGCACCAAATCTTATCCTATCCTTTACTTGTCTCTCCTTATCCCTCTTCACTTGTTCATCAGTTTCATTAGTCTACTGTTTTTTATTTATTGTGCAGCTGGCCCTGTAACAATATGGGTTTAAACTGCACAGGTCCAAGGACATGACTTTTTCCGACAAATACAGTAAAGTACTGTAAATGTATCTTCTCGTCCTTACGATTTTCTTAGTACCATTTTCTTTTCTTCCTATCTTACTTTATTGTAAGAACATGGTATATAATACATTTAACATATAAAATATGTGTTAGTAGACTGTTTATGTTATTGGCAAGGCAATGTCAGCAGGCTATTAGTAGTTCAGTTTTGAGGGAGTCAAAAGTTATACACTGCATAGGGAGTCAGCGCCCCAAAAGTCACCTATGTATATTTTTGTAACCCACCTCAAATTCTTTGAGAAAGGCGGGGAGAAATTAAATAAAACATGTTTTACATTTCTAGTTCCCTCAACTTTTTGTCTCATGCCATTTTCTTACAAGTCAGTCAGGTATATGAAAAATTATAAATTTAAAGGAACTATCAGAAAAGCTTCAGAAAAGAATCTCCAGGGCAGATCTGGAGATTAATAAGTTGCTTATAAATTATTTGGATCAGTATTGCTTAAAAAATAAAACAGGATAATTTATAAAAATTAACAATAATTTTTTTTTATTTTTTAATTTTTTAAAAAGATTTTTATTTATTTATTTGACAGACAGAGATCTCAAGTCGGCAGAGAGGCAGGCAGAGAGAGAGAGGAGGAAGCAGGCTCCCTGCTGAGCAGAGAGCCCAATGTGGGGCTCGATCCCAGGACCCTGGGATCATGTCCTGAGCCGAAGGCAGAGCCTTTAACCCACTGAGCCACCCAGGCGCCCCATAAAAATTAACAATAATTTTCAAAATCACTATTTCATACATATTTGTGATATGCAGAGCTTACATGAATCAAACGGTTTAAGAATATTTGCTTTTATTGCCCATTACTTGATTTCATTTTAGTAATAACTAGATCAAAAATGAGATATGGAAGTATTTTCCACCCAGATGAATATAATAGACTTAAGATAACAATACATTAAAAATTCAAGTAGAATCAACTCTCCTGGTGTAACCTATAACTGGGTTCTCAGTCTTACTTGTTATACTTTCAAGTTAACGTTTGTTTTCAACAGCTCATTAAGAAAATACAAAGTCAGGAAAAGACTGCCACCTACTGAATTATTAGAGCAAAACTATAGGATGAGCACTACCCAAAGTACGCTTCCTAGAACAGGAGTCTTAGGAAACACTAGAATCCTGTAGTCTAATAAGGTTGAGAAACAGGCACATTCTCACAGACATACACATACTAAGCGCAACAAAGGTTCTGAGAAGCTCTTCAGTAAAGTGAAACTGAATCCCAAACTTATTGGACAATGTAAACTCCACTTTAATTTTTGTGAAATTACTTAATAATATCTCAGAGAAACAACATTCTGCAAAACACATGTTGAAAAGTGCTATTTTAGATCTCAGAATCTCAAAATAACATCTCTTATCTAATTATATCCTAAGGTAGGAAAGCAATTTATGATTTGCCTTATTTCACATTATATGGTACTCTAAAATAATCAAATCAAAGAATCTTATTGTAGAAAGACATTAAAAGTCACACACATATATACTCTAACAACTCAAAACAAAAATACTGATTCTAAGAAAACCTACTTAAGCACATTATCAACAATCATGGTGCTCCATTTTAAAACCACATATGTATTAAATACCGAAAATACTTACTGTGTAAGATTCAACTAATACTGTGGTTTCTAAGGCCAGCTTCTGCTCTTGCTCAATATTATACCCCACATAACACAATTTTTCTTTAATCATGCGAACTGTTTCAAAGTCAGCAGAATGGTTGAAGGCATATCCTCGCAAAAGCAGCAGCTGGTACAAAAAACAGCAGCAAATTCACAATTAATCTGAATGAGTTAAACCCTGGCAAGCTTTCACTGCTCACTAAACAGTTCAAGTCAGTAACACATGCAATGGACAGTGGATCCTTAGGTCTTACTGAATTTCAGAAATGGGAAGAGTATTTTCCATAAAAGGACTTATATTTCACTTTCACAGAGAGTGAAAGAATTAACAGTTTATGAATAATAAATGGGTAAAGTAAGCTTAAAAAACCAAGCTAGTTTTAAAAAATGACTGTTTTGAGTGCTAACGTTTAGATAGTTTTGATAAATAATCAAAATAAATATTTCAATGAATATTATTTTAGTATTGGACTCTTATAATCTGCCATTTGCTCAATCATGCCATATTCATGAAATATCCCTAGGTCTTAAAAAGTTTTATCCCTGACTTCTAGCATTATGTCCGACATATAGTAGATGGGCAAGAGTATTTGTCAATGAAATAAATGATTAGAATTCAAATTAATGGAAAAAAATTTCAAATAAAAATTCAAGTTAACAGAAAAAAAAAACCAAATTGGACTTTTCATACAAAAACTTTAAAACCCTCAGATATTCCTCAGACAGAATTTTGGCCTGGAACAAGAGTATTATAGTTCTCATTAGCTTAATCTCATTATTACTCTAAATGAGACAAAAGGAACACCATGTGAAGATAAAGACTTATACAACCTATTTTACTGTACAGACATCACCCTAGAATAGTTTCTCAACAGTAGCACCAATGATATTGTGGACCTTAAAATTCTTTGTTGTGGGGACTGCCCCCACTAAACATCTGTAGGATGTTTAGTAGCATTCCTGCACAGCTGGAACAACGAAAAATGTCTCCAGATGTTGCAAAATGTCCTGGGGGTGGGGTGGGGGCAGCATTACCCCTGGTTGAGAGCCACTGACCTGGAGAGAATAAACTAACTAGTCTAAACTTTTTTTTTCAATATTAAAAATATACACATACCTCTAAATAACAGCCTTATATACTTTCTCCAGCAATGTTTTAACGAAAATTGTAACTAATTATAGTTAAAGTAAACATTAATATATAGTAAACACTAAACACTGGATATATTCCATGAAAACTACTAAAGATTGAAGTCTGGTACAACTGGGACTATTAAGTTTTTTTATTTATTTGAAAGAGAGAGAGAGCACGAGTAGGGGGTTGGAGGGGAGGGAGAGAGAGAAGCAGATTTCCTGCTGAGGGGACTTGATCCCAGGACCCTCAGATCATGACCTGAGCCCAAGGCAGACACGTAATTGACTGAGCCACCCAGGCTCCCCTCAAAGAAAGGTTTCATGGCAGAAAAGGCTGTCTCTATTGTTCAAGAAGTCTTACGGTCTCTTCTACTTCACTACCAAGTCTTCAGGAATAGCAAACATAATTATGTAATGATGTATTCTATTCTCATTACCACACCAGACAACATGTGTGTAAATTTTACATGGATTTTGACATGAATAATGGGGTAAATGGGTCATTCCCCCAGTGCTGCAGAAGATCTGCTATGATCCTGAGAGGATTATTTCAAATATGTTAAATTAGTAAATATAAACTACAAAAGCTAATTTCTATGGTATCTTCTTTTGCTTACCTTGATAAGATATCTGGTAATATCCCTTCCAGCAATATCCAGTCTCCTGGTAAGGTGAGGGAGAGAAAAGCCTTCATACACTGGACAAATGTGAGTTACACCATCTCCAGAGTCCACCACTACTCCAGTCAATAAACCTGTGTGAGAACCGTGAGGTTTTAAATAAAAAGCCAAATCAGAAAAATCAGAACCAGCAAATTTCAAAAATTAGTACAGAAGCCAAACTAGAAACTTCACCAACCAGAATGGTCTAGAAGACAGCATTTCTTTATTATTTGTTATTTTGCAGTTTACTTCTAACATCTAGACACTAAAGTGAGTGTTCTCACACATGCCTCTTGTGAGACCTTTAATCTGTGTGCTATCCCAAGAGACGGGAAGAAACAGACTCTGAGACCCAGGACTGAAAAACACAACATGTTCTTTTTTTTTTTTTTTTTTAAAGATTTTATTTATTTGACAGACAGCGATCACAAGCAGGCAGAGCAGCAGGCAGAGAGAGAGGAGGAAGCAGGCTCCCTGCAGAGCAGAGAGCCCAATGTGGGGCTCGATCCCAGGACTCTGGGATCATGACCTGAGCCGAAGGCAGAGGCCCAACCCAGTGAGCCACCCAGGCACCCCAAAACACAACATGTTCTTAAAGCTCAGTACAATTCTTTTTCTTTCCAATTTAATCTTGATCCCTGAATTTCCCTGAAGTGGAATTTTCTAAAGCATCATCGTAACTTTTAGGAAAACCATTTTGAGAGATAAATACTATACAAGTTGATAGTGAACCTGTTGAATAATGTACTTATTATTTTTGTCATATAATATATTCAAAACTGTGTCTTGGAAAAATTCCTATTGATACTAGATAGCTGGAAATTTAGAACAACTAACCTTGGCCAGCCAAAGGACCACTTTAATTATTCACCAGAAACCAGAAAGACAATCAATGTCAGTTAAACCTTTTAATAAAAGAATAGCAAAGAAGCTGCCTTGTTTCCCATACATACTATTTAAACTACAAATGAATGCAAAAGTTACCTTCTGCACTAGGGTTAATTTAGGGGGAAAAAAAAGACAAAACTTTTCCTAACTCAAATTTTCTAATAGTTACTAGTCTAACGTTTTAACCAAAAAAAGTTTTTACCTTATAGAATATGCAATGTTTGTAACTTTCTTTTTTTTTAAATTTTTTTTTAAGATTTTTTTTTAAATTTATTCATTTGACAGACAGAGATCACAAGTAGGCAGAGAGGCAGGCAGAGAGAGAGGAAAGGAAGCAGGCTCCCTGCTGAGCAGAGAGCCCGATGCGGGGCTCGATCCCAGCACCCTGGGATCATGACCTGAGCCGAAGGCAGAGCCTTTAACCCACTGAGCCACCCAGGCGCCCCAATGTCTGTAACTTTCTTAAGCATTATCATTTTCACATCCCTGAATAGGTTCTCTCCCTCTCTTAATACAAACTTGAATGCACCATAATATTTAATCATAATGATTTATCTTTGATACATTTACTCAATCTACCTCCTTCTGAAGCTCATATACTGTCTTTCCTTGATTGATGGTGTATATAAATCTTCATAAAAAGCTTCATAAAAATCATCTACTGCCTTTTAATGCTGCATTCCTTTCAACAAGAAAAACATCTCATTGCAAAAAAAGAGGAATCCACATCATTAATTCAAAAACACTCCCAGTAATATCAACTAAAGCAGGATTTACATTTTATTTTCCAAACAGACCTTCCCATCCAACTGCAGCTTATTTTCTCCCACTCCCACTAGGTTACAGACTAGCCTTTCGCAGTACACATCTGACCCATTTTCAGTGCCACACTATTTTGTCACTTGAGTATACACTCTTCCACTTCGATTCCTATGGATTCTTTGAGGTTCAACTGAGTTCATACCTCTTCATTTACACCTTTCCTGACAACTCTTACCTCCAGATTCCCTAATTCCAGTTATTCCCTTCAATCCTGTCTTTAGCATGCAGTCAAACATAGCTTCCTAAACCACCATGTCACTTCTCTTACTCACAAGCCTTCCACGGCTCCAAATGCTTCTTCCTACCTTGATATAACTGGTAGCACTAGCCACCTTGTTTAGAAGGAGAATTTTACCTGTGGGTCAGAGTTCTTTTGATCATTACTGGACTATCATTTCTCACAATTAAGGATTCAATAGTTATACAAAAAATGACTAAATACCAGGAATTAAAAGACAGTATCTTCTCATTGGATGGAAATAAATGCATGAATATTGCTAGAAAAACCTGTTATGGTCAGTTTTATTCAAATACAATTTAAACAAAAATTCACTTTATTAACACTGTCCATCCTCACCACCTAAATGAAACTATTATCACCAGTTTCAAAGCTTAGATTCCCCAAATTTTTAGTATCTATTTTTTTCCAAAGTATTTTCTAAAATAATTTCTAGAATTCATTTTTCTAAAAATGAAATAAAATTACCTCAGTGCAGGTAAACACTCCTTATAAAGTAACCAATGATTTTAAATTCCTTCTTCAAAGGAAAATTATTCATAGCTGGAATATAATCACGTTAAGGTCAAGAAGACCTTACTCACTGCCATGTCCTTTGCACTACACACAGCACAAGGTACATTCCACTTGATGAATGAACAAAACTTTTTTGAAAATTTAATTCCCCCAAGTATTTTCTAAGTATCTATATGTAGTACTGAAGACAGTTTAATGAGCCAACGAGTATTTCTACAAGGTGATTTTTACTAATCCATGTTTAGAATTAGATGGGTCACCACAGTGAGTCTTCTAAGTACTATGTCATACACACAGCTAATGACTAAGGCTGAAGATTTAGCTCAGGTGTCACCTCCTTTAGAAACCTTTGTCGTGCTGAGTCAAAATTATCTGTTTCTGTAGGTTTTTTTCCTATTGGACTCTAAATTCTTTGGGGGTATCTTCACATTTCAAGTGCCTAACAGGCTGTGTGGCACCTATTTGACAGCCCCATAAATTCTCTTAATAAGACTATCAGAATATAAAGAGCTCTCCCCACATGGCCAATTTTTATTCTCAACAGAAAGGCATGCAGTTACTAATGGCAGCACCAAGAAAACATAAAAGTTAGGAAGGCATTTCCAAATGTCTACCTTCTCCTCTACTATGTATGTAACAAGTGTGATTTTATACTAACCTTTTTTAGATCTCTACGTATTTTTTTTAAACTCTGACAATTCTTTTTTTTTTTTTTTAAGGTTTTATTTATTTGAGAGAGAGAGAGTGAGCAGGAGAGACAGCACAAGTAGGGGGAGCGGCAGAGGGAGAGGGAGAACCAGGCTTCCTACTGAGCAGGTAGCCCAATGCGGGACTCAATCCCATGACCCTGGGATCACAACCTTAGCCAAAGACAGATGTTTAACTGACAGAGCCACCCAGGCACCCCAACTCTGACAATGCTAAGGACGAATTCCAGCTCATTCTTCACTGCATAAAAAATTTTTACTTTGGGGCACCTGGGTGGCTCAGTGGGTTAAAGCCTCTGCCTTCAGCTCAGGTCATAATCCCAGGGTCCTGAGATCAAGCCCCGCATCGGGCTCTCTGCTCAGCAGGGAACCTGCTTCCTCCGATCTCTTAAAAAAAAATTTTTTTTTTTTTTTACTTTAAAAAGTTTAGGGATGCCTGGGTGGCTCAGGTCATGATCTCAGGGTCCTGGGATTGAGTCCCACATAGGGCTCCTTGCTCAGTGGGGAGTCTGCTTCTCCCTCTGCCTGCTGCTCCCCCTGCTCATTCTCCCTCTCTCTCTCTCTCTGACAGATAAATAAATGACATCTTTTAAAAAAAGAATTAAAAAAAAAAGGTCTAAAAGAGGGAACCTCCTACTTTTAAAAAATTGAGTTCTCAGACAATTATCATATGATCTCCCTGATATGAGGAAGTTGAGAGGCAATGTAGTGGGTTAGGAAAGAAATAAATGGGACAAGAGGGGATTGGGAGGGAGACAAACCATTAGAGACTCTTAATCTCACAGAACAAACTGAAGGTTGCGGGGGTCGGGGACAGGGGGGGTAGGGAGAGGGTGGTTGGGTTACAGACACTGGGGAAGGTATGTGCTATTGTGAGTGCTGTGAAGTGTGTAAACCTGGCGATTCACAGACCTGAACCCCTGGGGCTATTAATACACTATATGTTAATAAAAAAAATAAAAAATTTTTAAAAATTTGAGTTCTCTTTACCTTAAGTCCTTCATTGCTTAATGAAGGAAATAAAAATATATGTGGTATTTTATTTGACTAATTTTAGAAATTATGAAAATATTTGAGTAAATATTTGAAAAATTTAAATAAATATATAAATATTGTGCTTTTCTGGGATTTACAACTTACTGAAAAACCAAATTCCTCTGATATAAAATGCCCTTAATGTCTACTGAATTGATTATTCTAAAAGTTAAGTTTCACCTACCTTGAGCATACAAAGTCAGAACTGCCTGGATAGCTACATACACACCAGAAAACTGGTAAGTTTCAAACATTACCTGAAAATGCAAAAGGAGAGAAAGAAATGCTGGTATTTAGAAGTTATATAATACGTATATATTTTATGCTTTCTTGATGGTCACAGAGTAGATTAGTTGCCAAAACAGAATCAAAAGGGACCTAAAAGAGTCCTCCATTCTCCTCAGCTGTCACAGAGCTCCAATGCAGGGAACAGATTTTTGGATGTAGACGGAGTCCTCAAGTATTTCCTAAGTGCTACAAAGCCAAGATTTTTGAATGTTTTGGTTAATAGCTAATTAGAATGGAAGAAAGATTTTTGCATCTGAACAAGCCTTTCTTAATGATGTCCCTTAATGAAAATATCTTTTAATTCAAGGACAAACTACAGAAACTGCTCAACTGCTGACCTTCCCATCCCTCTGTCCTAACCTGGGCCAAGACTAGAGTTCTACCCCCAACTGGTTAAAAAAAAAAGAAAAAGGAAAGAAAAAGTAGTAAAATGGCAGGGCAGGAAGCCAAAAATATATGCAGTAATTCCTGAATGCTGGCAGATACAGAAACTGCCTAGCTGTTCCACCCACCCTCCCGGCTTGAGCCCTGGCTGTGGCGCCGCTCTCAGCTGAGCTACACTAAAGGGAGGAGTCTCCTTCTGCCCTCTCTGGTCACAACCATGCTCATTCTCTGTAATCCAGGTGGGCTGGAACATCCTGTAGGACGTTTTCTGTCATCTACAGGGAGCACTGCTTGCCTGGCAGGGCTGACTACCACTCTGTAAATCTAGTGACTTAGAAATTTTATAAATGATCACAATGAGAATTACATAGGATTTAAATGTTATTACTCTGAAATACATATTTATCAATTAAGCAACTAGATATTCTAACCAGATATTCTAATCTAGCCAGTACTCAATTAAGAAACTAGATATTCCAACCCGTATTTTATACCATATCCCCTCTCCAGCCAGGAGAAAATGGAAGAGTTAAGCTGTATTTGTATTTGTCACCTTCAAAGTCCACTAGAACTTGTTTTTATTTGTAAGATAATTAGAAAGTACTTGTAGTACTAAATGAACTTACTGGATAAGATTAAAGTAGGGCATTACCAGTCACAGCCAAATTTGCACCCACAAGTAAAAAAGAATATTAAAAGAACATGAGACTTTATAGCACAGTGAGACCAATTCTTATCAGTCTAGCAGATAAAAAACCAAACCAAACCAAACAAAAAACACAAACATGTCCTAGTCAAATAGCTAGCTAGTAGAAGACGCATCCAGGTATAATGTCATCTTTCTAACTTTTCATCCAAAAGGAAACTTGATTTTCATTCTGATGTTGTGTTACTTTCCTAAGGTGGTTAACATGTGTAGGAGGAACCTTTTGGTTTAATGCAAAAGTACCTCCAACCTGATTTTACAATGTGCTACTAAAAATAAATACCAATTACAAATGACTACTTATCCATCACAAAAAGTATTAGTAGTTATAAATCACTTAGAAATAATAAGTTGCAACTAAAATATGAACTAATATAATAACGGCCATCTTTCACAGTTCTAGGGGTGGTCAGGAGGGGAAAAAGAAGTAGTAAGATATAAGCCATAAGGAATGACATGGATTTTGTAACTAAAACCAGGATCTTAAATTTTTAAAACATTCAATATAAAACTTAAGCTTTAATCCAGAATTTAAAAATACTGTCTAGCAATAATCTCTTGTATAATCCTTCCAAAATTTCCACCAACAGCTAAATAGATGTAGAGTAGTATCTGCAAAACTAAGACAGAAACAATTATTACAAGCTTTTACCTCAAATATAACAAGACAAAGTCATACACTTCCTACCTCATATAAAACAAAATATAATGAAAGACAACCTTGAAAAGTTACTTATCTAAACTCTGAAGAATGAAGACTTCTTGCTCTCCGTACCTGCTTCCCCCAGGACCCTTCAATCTCCTCTCACTAACTCCCACCTCCCTGGTCCTTAGCCTTCCCACCACTGTCTGTTCCCACTTCCCTGGTGAACTGATTATCCATATCCCGATGACTCCCAAGTTTCTTTCTCTAGCCTCAGACTTTTCTTCTGAACTTGATCTTTTACAGGTTTCCCTGCTACCTGAAGATAGAATATTCCTATGAAACCTTAAGTAAAGTTGAAATGTAAATCAAAGAAGCAATTACCATTACCAAGCTTATATGGAAAATTGAGTGTTCCCAAACCCCAAAAATAACCTCTCTTGGGCTTTTCTGATAACCTAGGACACATCTTGCTAATGGATGCACAAAATGAAACAAGATAAAGCACAGGTGCTCACAGACACAGTTCAAAGCTATGGCGCCGCGATGCCGAGATGCTGAGTGTCATTCCAGGGTCAGAGTTTGGCGCCGCCACTCGCTCTGCTCTGGGTGTGCGCTGCCTCTAACAGCTCACTGTAGAAAAACTGCTGAATGCAATTTTTGCTTTTCCCCTTTCTCATTAAATGAAAATCCTCTTTGGAGTTCTTTCAGTTAGTGAAAACAGGTACTAATGTAGGTCTCTGGTCAAAGTGAAGTGGCATAACATGAACTTTTGAAAAGTGGGGGATACCTCTCTCTGACATTTTTTTTTTTTAAAGATTTTATTTATTTGACAGAGAGAGATCACAAGTAGAGAGAGAGAGAGAGAGGAGGAAGCAGGCTCACTGCCTAGCAGAGAGCCCGATGTGGGACTCGATCCCAGGACCCTGAGATCATGACCTGAGCTGAAGGCAGAGGCTTAACCCACTGAGCCACCCAGGCAGCCCTCTCTCTGACATTTTTGACTGGATGTCTAATGAGGGCCTACCATGTCCAGAACTTAACTCCTGATCCATTGCCCTCAAATCCTGTTCTACTTATCTGAGTCTTTTCCCATCTCAGTTGATGGTAATGTTATCCTCTGGGTGCCCGTCCCAAAACCTTTTGAGTCATCCCTGGTTCTCCCCTCCTCTATTACCCATATTTAATGCACCAGAAAATGCTTTGGCACTTTCAAAATAGATTCACAGTCTGGCCACTTCTCTTTACTTTTGCTGCTATTACCCCAAATCCTAACCATCATTATCTTCTGCCTAGGTAACTGAAAGTCTTCAAACTTGTCTCTCTTCCACCCTTGCCTCCTTATGGTCTACTCACAACACCGCAGACACCTAAACTGGAGCATGTCCCTTCTTCTGTGTGACAGCACCTCATTTCACTCAGAGTAAAAGAATAATTCTCTTTAAGGGCCTGTAAAGCCCTAGAAGATCTGGCCCTATTATTTCCCTAACCTCATCTCCTACTGCTCCCCCATACTGGCCTCTTTGTTGACTCTCTAATATACCAGGCTTGTTCCCATTTTAAGACCTTCACACTGGCTAGCTACTTCCCTTGTCTGGAATGCTATCCCCCAACATATCCTGGCTGATTCCCTTACTTTCTGTTTAAACATCACCTTCTCTCAATGCTTACTCTCACACCCTGTGAAAAATGTTACCCCCTCCCCACACCCCTCAACCTGCTCTTTCCCTCTCTTTAGCATCTATTATCTTCCAACAAACCAGTCAGTTAATTCACTTTGTGGGCAGTGGGGGTGGGGTGGGTGTCACCTGCCAGAACAAGTTCCATGGCAACAGGACTTGATTTTGTTTACTGATATATCCTACTTAGAAATAATGACTAGTTAGGTTCTCAATAAATAGGATCTGGGGGGAAAACAATTATTTTCATTCCCTTTTTCTTAATAACAATGGTAAAAGAACATGTGCTGTAACATTACATCACAGAAACACATATATACACACCCCACTTGAAAACTTACCTCTACAATCTTCTCTCTGTTTTTGGTGGGGTTCATGGGAGGTTCTGTGAGTAAGATTTTACAATTTCTGGTATCTATGTTAAGTTTCTCTGGTCCAAATGTATAATCCCACAGGTGTTTCATATCATCCCAATTTCGTACTATGCCATTTTCCATAGGGTAGTTAACTTCTAACATTGAGCGTAATTCACTTGCCTCATCACCGACCATAAGATCCTAGAAAATTATAACATCAAGGCTTTAGGCCAAATTTTTGCATAAAATATCTTCAGAAAATTACATTCCTATGATATTTTGGAAAACTAGGGAATAATTTAATTTTAATTTTTCTGGCACTTTCAGATAAAGTTCTTCATTCCACAAGTTTAAAAAATCTTTTCTTTCAAGAACAATGCCTTGGAGAGTTTAATCATGAGTAATAAATTTTTATGTACAACGTGGTTTAAATCAATAAATGGACCTTACCTTCAATACATATGTTTCCAAAAGAAGAGCATTAGCACAAATAAACCCCACATTTTCATATTTTGGAGGGTTTTGTATGAGGTTTCATCTGTTTCTTTTGCTCAAATGTTCAAAAAATAAGGCCTGTGATATGTGAAATAGCACATCAGGGAAAAAAAAACTTGTAGAAAAATGCTCAATGCATGCAGCACAGTTCTTTGTACTAAATATTGAAATGGTAAGTGTAAATGATACGTTTTAATGTACAACAAAGCATAATGAAAAAAGTTAAAAATTAAATGACTCTTTATTATATTGTAATAATGCAGATATGCACCACATTACTTGCAAATTTCACAAACTTCCACCTGCACATGCCTCAGTTAGAACTGAAATTAAGTTTTTATATACGTCTCACCAAGATCAGTGGAAATTTGTAGACATACCAAAAATTAAGACATAGGGAAACAATGTTTAAAAATTAGCTCATGAGCAACATTTCCAACCTTAAAGTATAATACTGGAAAACTATGCTAGCACACAAGAAGCAGAGTACTCACAAGTCTTGTCTCCAAGGAGAGCATACTTAAGATGACCCACATTTGAAAAGTCAAATTTTGTATGTATAATAAGGCTAATGATGTCATAGAATTTAAGCGTATTTTAAAAATCAGCTATTCAAGCTACTAAATAATCCTGATTTCTACATATACTGATTAATTCAACTTAAAAAAGCTATCAGAAATAGATACTGTTTGCTACAACACCGTAAGTTTAAAACATGGGGAAATGAAATGTTAAAATTAACATAAAATGTCTCAAAATAAGGTTTAAATATATGTGAGTTTAAAACTTTTAAAGCTAACAATTTAAAAAAAGATCAGAGGTAAACCAGGGTGAGGGCTCAAAAAAAGAATTCTGGAAAAATCCACTGAAAGCAACAACAAAAAGGAAAAACAAAGTTAAAGCAGATGCTAGAAATGTTACAAAAGCTTCTCTGTCGTAACTAATTTCTTATAAAGTTAATTTACCATAACATAAATACTTGAATTTCTTAAATATTAACTGTTTAAAAGAATCTGATAGGAAAATGGAAAATTAAAAATCTGCATCTGTGAATTCTAATCAATGACATGCATATTTTGAATTACTTTAGGAGAAGTACATTGATACTTTGAAATACATCAAAAAATGAGATAGACTAATGGAGGGATGAATAAATAAATAGGTGGTATGTCAGGAGAGTAAATAATAGTGTTAGAATCTAGGTGATGGGTATATGGGTTTCACTGTAGGATTCATTCAACTTTGCTATACATTCTAAACATTTAATCAAATGTTGGGGGGAATCTACACCTACAAGAACATATATTACTTTTAACCATTAACAAATGGTCACATACATTACTTTTTAACTTTTTAACAATTAACAAATATAATACACAATTTTGTTACTTTCCTCTAGAATGTATCATTCTGTGTTGTACAAAGTTAATAAATTAAATAATTAGATGGCTTATATAATCAATATACATTCATAACTATAGTTCATCAAATTTAGAATAAGTCTGATCAGATTTCATCAGAATATTTACTTCTATTTCCATGCAAGAATAGGGTTTTACATATGTCTGATCCAGTACCAATTCAAAATAAAAGTCTCATCCATCTACTTCTAGAGCATACATATATAAAGGATTAACTGAAAGAAACATCTAGCATTGAATATTTTATAATCCCTCTGAACAAAAAGGAAGAACAGTTAAAATGGAAAACAGGTATTAACCTATGAAATTAGTACAAATATTCTTAAGTAGCTCAGCACCTAATCCAAAAATTAATCTGTATCTAAAATATTAATTAAAAGAACCATAGAATATATATTATTCCCTAGAATGTTTCAACTTTCAAAAACTACAAATGCCAAGAGCTTTGTGTGACTTGCCTTATACCTCAGAACCTTAGATTTTTTTACCACCCACCCCACCCCTGGATTTAAAGCCTCAACTACCACCTGTTACTTGAAAGAATGAGAAATCACAGTAACTATATGAGATGCTCTTTCAAAGGCATTTATCTTTTATGAAAAGCAGGCAGTGTAGCTTTATTTGCCAAGAATTATTCTGAACAATGTCACCTCAAATTGGAAAACTGAGTGAACACATTTTAAAACCAAAATTAAATCCCTAAGAAGGAAATTCCATAAAAAAAGTTTGTTAATAAAGCCTACACTGTTCTCTACAAGTATACACTTAATTCCCTTGAGATTTTAAGACTAATACATGATTTTTATTTAGTATAAATATAGGAATTTCCACATTTAAATGTTTTCATTTATCCAAAAGAACACTCCGCAAAATAGTTACTTGTTAAAATACAAATCACTAAAAAATACTTGATCTTTGTCAAAACTGCTTACAAATAATATAAAAAACACACAAGCCTGAAAACACTTACTACTGAAGCACTTAAGGGCTGTCACAGAAAAATATAAAGAGAGTGAATTGTCTGGGATGTGCCCAGCTTCTAGTTCAAATTCTGGTTCACACAATGGTATTTATTTAGGGGGAAGGTGTGTTGTTTATGGAAAAGTCTTGTAAGACTTTCACATTTTTCTTATTTATCCTCAGATAATGTTGTAAAAATCTGCTCATCAATAAAAATGGTATAAGAAACAAGTCAATCTCTTTTCCTCCCTTTTTACTATCTATAGTTATTGGCATATCAAAGTTTTACTCAGCTTATTACACATTTACTACCCAATTGGATGCAAATACATACAGACTATGATAGGCAATGTTTAATTTAACATTGATCAATAAAATAGATTTATCCAAATGTAACAACTTCACCACAATTCTCTGAATCACACGTATTCTAAATAAAGCTACTTGGTTTCTAATATTATGCACACCACATTCCATTTTAATTATAACATTCGTCTACAAGAAACACAAGGAAAATAATTCAAAACTATGTTAGTAATTAGTTCTGGTTTGGTCCATTGTATGCAATCAGGAAAGTATAGGACTTAATTAGTTGCTACCAAATTGAAGCAATGAAAAAGGTTAAAAATCAAAGTACTTAAAATTAAAATATGGAATTACCCCCCTCCCCAATACTACAGGGACACAAAACAACAACTACTGTCCCATCAAGCAAAAGTGGAAAACAAACAGAGAGCATGTGTGTAACCTCACTTACCATCTTTTTGTTATTCTACTTCAACAGGTCAAGAAAGGTGAAGAGAGAGAAGGTAGAAGTAAGAGTCAGAAAAGGCCTAAATAAAATCCTCACTGAAATTTTTAAACATACAAGCAATAGAGACAAATTAGGTAGAGATCAGATGCAGTACTATATTTTACGGAGTTAATAATCAGGGCCAAATTAACATGGACAGTTATTACTCCTGAAAGAAAATTAACTCATTAAACAATTTAAATTTCCAGTTTTTAGTCTATCACCACATTTCAGCTAACAAAACACAAAAGTATAAGTCAATCCACTAGGCACAAGAATCCCCAAAAGTCAAATTTCTTTACTTCATTACTGAATTTAAGAACCTTAATTAAGGAAAATAAATAACAGAAAAGGTCTAGTTGAGTAGGTGGAGGGTGAGTTTAGAGTGTTTTTTTTCTAAGCTCTAGTAGTCAAGTTAAATTTTACACAGATTTCTTTTACTATTTTCTACTGGAAGAACAAATTAACTTGAGAGACTTAAAAGACTGAGCAGATTGAACAGAACTGAGCCAACAGAACACAGAATGACAAACCATACAAGCAAATGCTACTGGGGAATTCCTTAGCAAAAATGTCTTAGAATATAGGCTAGTTTCATTTCTATCACTTGGCCTTAAAAAGCAAGAAAGTGGGAGTGAAAAGATATGTAATCATTTGTGCCATGTTAGAGACTAAAATGGTTAATATGTGATGTATCTGTACACCTCAAAAATGTTATTCTCCATAAAGTAGATAAAAAAGACATTCTTTAAAAGCCTAATACTGAATAAAAACTGTGATTTCCAACTTCATTTAAAAAGCTCGTCCGTATCACTGGTATTGGCTAAATTTTAGGTCATTCATTTAAGATTAAATTCAATCAGAATGAAAGGCATTCACAAAAACAGAAGGTATCCCCCCCAAATTTCCCAAAAGAAAAGACCCTGAAAAAAAAATTATCATTTTGAACATCCCATTTGATTGTAAACAGAGGCCAGAATCATTCACTACTCTAAATCTTTAAAAATTTAACCCGGAACCTCAGTTTCGGTTGGCATCGATACTCATTATGTAACTCAATTTTCTAGTACCAAGAGCAGAGAGCTACCAAGTAGCAAGTCTCTCTCTAGCTATTACTACCTTCCTAGATATCTCAAACAAATGTCCCAAAAAGGTACACTTAACTTGTATTTCAAATGACTCATAATCTAACTGAAGTTCTATGAAAGACTGTCCAGATAGGATCAACGATGCTAGCTTGATCACAAATAATTCAGTAAAATGGCCCTTAAATTTGACTGCATTTTTTATAATCTCATCCCTAGGCCACGTAAAGAATTTAAGTCAATTGGTGACCACTGTCCTTTTGATTGTTCTGTTTTCTCTTCTTTTAAAATACTGTAATTCCCACTTCATTTCCAGTCCCTTTAATACGGAGAAAAAGCTCTCATCCTTAATGTCCAATCTCTCACGTTAAATACACGACAACCTTCCTCCGCTCTCCTTACAGTAAGAGAAATAATGCAATAATGCAAGGCCAACTCAAGATGTGAGCACCTTCTTCCTGTGCCTTATGGAAATCAGTTACTCTATTAGCGAAAAAAAGAACCAATAAAATGTATACCCTGTGTTTTCCTGACTAGCTATATTAAAAAGTAGGATAATCAGACCATGAGAAGGAAGGAAAAGTCTTAGGTCCCAACGAGACACTAACATATAATGAAAAATATATGGAACTGAAAGACATAAAAATATCAGGCTGATTTCTTTTAAACATTATATGTAATAAGGGCTTTAAGTCCCTAATACAATGTTCACATCAACATAAAAATCTTATTAAGTTTTACTCCATTCAGGGAGTAATGGCCTATCAGTTTTTGTGTCTTTCTTCAAGTGTTGATATAAATTAAAGATACAAGAAATTCTGCCTCTTTGCTTATCATGGTATCGTATCATAAAACTACTTAATTCAAAGAACACCCCACAAGTTTTAATCCTCATTTATCAATAAATAAAATATTACCTTGATTTCAATGTTTCCCACTTTGGTGGTTGATCTGATAATAGGTCTTCCAACCAAAGCTGGGAAGATGTGTTCTGGAAAGTTAGAGCCTGCATATCCGCACTTCACAAACTGAAAGAGAACAGTAAAAATGCGTTAGTGTCAAGGTATTTACCATGTCCGTTTAAAGAGAGCATCTGGAAAATACCACTTCACATTTATACAATTATTTTAAACTTCTGATGTTTTCAAATTATCCGAAGTAGTCACCCAATCTATCTTCCTTTTATTTCCTTTATGACATTGACTACTTCAGAGTTTATGTTTATTTACCAGTTAACTGCTTATTTAGTGCGCAAGTCTCCCTACTACAGGGAAAGTCTCAGAAAATCTTAAGCTGGGCAGTTCATGGTGGAGCCCAACGCCTCAAAGAGATCTCAGCACACAGTGGTCACACAAGTGAGAGACAGATTCACTCAACAAATGCTAAGAATTTTTAAAAAGAGGAATGTTAGAAACTGAACAGAACTAATGCTTCAATTATCTTTGGCAATTCACTTAAGCAACATTTACCAAAATGGGGGAGAAAATAGCATCTGGACTAGCATCATATTAAAAAAAAATATTTGGGGCATTTTTTGACTATTTACATTTTTATATTTAGATAAATGTATTTAGTGATGCCAGGTAACCAGAATTTTATATTCAGATAGTGTAGTTCTCCAGTGAGGGCATAACACAGAACCTGATAATACTTGTAAGAAACTCATACACTTCAGGGAAATACAAATCAAAACCACAATAAGATAGCACCTCACATCAGTCAGAATGGCTAAAATTAACAAGTCAGGACATGATGGATGCTGGTGAGGATATGGAGAAAGGGGAACCCTCCTACACTGATGGTGGGAATGCAAGCTGGTGCAACCACTCTGGAAAACAGCTTGGAGGTTCCTCAAAAAGTTGAAAATAGAGCTACCCTACAACCCAGCAATTGCACTACTGGGTATTTATCCTAAAGATACAAACGTAGTGATCTGAAGGGGCACGTGCACCCCAATGTTTATAGCAGCAATGTCCACAATAGCCAAACTATGGAAAGAACCTAGATGTCCACCAAGAGATGAATGGATAAAGAAGATGTGGTATATATATACAATGGAATATTATGCAGCCTTCAAAAGAAATGAAACCTTGCCATTTGTGATGACGTGGATGGAACTAGAGTATTATGCTTAGCGAAATAAGTCAATCGGAGAAAGACAACTATCATATGATATCCCTGATATGAGGAAGTGCAGGTGCAACGAGGGGGGTTTGGGGGGTAGGAAAAGAATAAATGAAACAAGATGGGATTGGGAGGGAGACAAACCGTAAGAGACTCTTAATCTCATAAAACAAACTGAGGGTTGCCGGGGGGAGGTGGGTAGGGAGAGGGTGGTGGGGTTATGGACATTGGGGAGGGTATGTGCTACGGTGAGTGCTGTGAAGTGTGTAAACCTGGCGATTCACAGACCTGTACCCCTGGGGCTAATAATACATTATATGTTTATAAAAAAATTAAAAAATTATAAAAAAAAAACTGATACACTAAGAGACTTAATAACTACAGTAAAACTGAAAATAGAACCAAAGGTTTTTAATTCTTATACCAATAATACAGCCTGTTCAGTCTTATTTTTAAGAGCAGACATTGCAAGGAAAATGCAATTAAAAACTTAAGGGCAGGAGGAGGAAGCTACAGACCAGGAAATGTTATCATAGTCTCTACCTTCTTCCTTAACAAGTCTTTATTCATGTAAGTTATATTGTACAAGGATTTTTGTGTCTACTGATAAATCCCAAGTGCCTAGAACAGTGTCTGGCACATAGGAAGTGCATACTATATAACTGACCAATAAAAATTAAAAATTTTGCTGTTGATTTGGAAGTATGATACCATGATTATTTTATTTTTTAGTTTTTTTATTTTTTATTCTTTTAAGATTTTATTTATTTATTTAACAGAGAGAGATCGCCAGTAGGCAGAGAGGCAGGCAGAGAGAGAGAGAGAGAGAGAGAGAGAGAGAGGAGGAAGCAGGCTCCCTGCCAAGCAGAGAGCCCGATGCTCTCTGAGCATCCCAGGACCCTGAGATCATGACCTGAGCCAAAGGCAGAGGCTTTACCCACTGAGCTACCCAGGCGCCCACCATGATTATTTTAATACAGAGAATTTGTTTCATCTTAAGAAAAAGTACATTGTTTCATGGCTCCAGGCCCCATACATTCTCTGAAAAGAAGGAGAAAAACAGTATCTGAGTGTGACACATGACAATAATAAGAATGTTGACAGAAACTATTAACCTACCCCTTGACAGAAAGCTACTGTGTACAAAAAACTGTTTTATTTGATGGTGGTAAAATTTAGGAATGATCTTAAACTTACTGACTTCTGACTAACCCCACCAAAATATCGAATTTTCATATTTCAAAGATCTCGCAACCTTGTTGGAAATGCTGATGAACCACATTTAACTATAAATAGCCCAGAACATTCTGCCACCCAGAATTTGAAGTGAATTTCAAGTCTTTTATAAATAGAATTTTAAAAAATATATTAAAGTCATGACTTATGCTGATTAAAGCCATGAAAAATCTGTCTGAAATACCACCTGACTTCCTATCCTCCCAGTTCACATTTACATTCTAGAATCTCCATAAAACATACTGTCCATATACATGTTCTTCCAAACCCACAAAACCTAGTCCTGGTCAGTTAACCTCTAAGTCATCAAGGCTAGGGTATTTTTCAGTTACAGCTACCTGTTTCTAAAACTTTGATACAATTCTTACTGGATTATCTTCCAAGGCAATAGTAGGATATGATGGCATAAGGAATAATCTTTTTTTTTTTTTTTTTTTAGGTTTTATTTATTTATTTGGCAGAGAGAGAGAATACAAGCAGGGGGAGCTGCAGGCAGAGGGAGAGGGAGAAGCAGGGAGCCGGATGTGGGGATGGATCCCAGAATCCCTGGGATAATGACCTGAGCCTCCCAGGTGCCCCCAACCATACCCAAATTTCTATATGAATAACATTTGTCATGATCATCAGCCTAATATCAGCATTAGTCATAATTTATCTTATATTCCAAATATAGAAACAAATACTATGTGCAGATATTAAATTGTTATGTTTACCTCAAAGTAATGAACAGATAAGGACACTGGGTGGATCAAAAGTGTCCAATACAGGCTGAAAATGCTCCCTTATATAGTTATAAATGTTTTTAAAGAAAATTATAGAATGATGAAAAAAAACCCGACAAGTTTCCAAGGGCCATCTTCAGCATATTAAATATAAACAAATGATTTGAGAGAGAAATACTATCTAAAATTGAAGGTGGGAGGACGAGCCTGGCATGGGAAACAAATCAAATCCTGGTGCACAGAGGAGGCTGTGAAGGTTGACATGCTTTCCCTCTCATTCTGAGCTACACAGACTCAGAAACACACAACATGGCAAATACATAATCACATTTGTCAATGTTTACTGATTATAAATGCTCAGATGGGTGGTTTATAGCTTAAAATTCTCATTTTAGCATATATTTGTTTGTTTGAGCATATTTTAAGGGATGAAATATTTGCAGTGTGACTAAGGTAAAAAGACATCCCTGAAATAGGAGACTCCCTGAAACTATAAAAACAATTGTAAACCCATTTATTCCTGTGCTTTACAAAATAAGGAAAGTTGGCATTTTATTCAAATTAAACATACCAATCACTTATTAATGAAATTACTTATGCAGTTTAAGCAGTAGCTTACTGGAAGCAGATGCTGCTTTAATAATCCAGTGCCAGGGGGACCTGGGTGGCTCAGTGGGCTAAGCCTCTGCCTTCAGCTCAGGTCATGATCTCAGAGTCCTGGGACTGAGCTCCGCATCAGGCTCTCTGCTCAGCAGGGAGCCTGCTCCCCCCCCCCCCCGCCGGCCTGCTGCTCTGCCTACTTGTGCTCTCTCTGTCAAATAAATAAATAAAATCTTTTAAAAAAATAATAATCCAGTGCCAGTACTCCTACATGGTATTAGATACTCGGTCAAAATGACAATAGCTGCACTATTTCATATTATTGCCAATGTGAGAGCATTAATAGCTATAATAACAAGAGTTTGATTACAATAACCTATTTTTAATAACAAAATGAATACAATTTGACATTTCCTTTCTTGCAAAAAGTCAGTACCTTAAAAAAAAATCTAATTCATGTGATAAAATGCAAAGAATACAGTCTTTTCCAAGCTACTCATTTGGTATCATTTTAATCCTTGCAATACCTCCCCCAGTCTAATCATTTTAAGTCTTGGACTTAGTTCTCTCATTGTGTGCAAGAAGGTTGAGTTTAAGAAATAGATTTTACCATATATAGTTTCCTCTTCATAGCACTGTGGTTTGAACTGACTCCCTTACTTGCCACTGAGTCATCAAATGGTAAGAACATGAACAGTATAATGTTCTTTCAAGCAAAAATGAAGAAAAAAAATCCAACTACATTTGCTCTAAAAGTATCTTTCTCCCCTCAAAAAATAAACTGGGATTTATACAGCCCCATTTGAGCTTATTTAATTTGTATTTTTCATTAATTTAATCTGATGGTATGGATATATTCATTAATTTAATTGCCTTGTGATTATTCTCATCTTAAGCCACAAAAATATTTTTTTCTATTTCAAAGCATTTTGCAGAGTGAAGACAAATTTGTTTTTGGTTTGTTCCTACTTCAAGAACTCCTAAATTCAAAATATAAACTAGCATAAATCTGATAAAGCACAGCATAAGCAACAACAAATGTGAAAATTATAAATGAAAGCATAATTATCCTAGCACAAGAAGCTACTTTGTATCATTAGACCCTAAAAATTCTACCAGTCATACAGTAAGCACACGAGTCTTTCCTGTCAGTGAACTAGCTTAATGCTGATGAAATCACCCAAGTTTGGTAACAATACACTCCAGGGACCTGGGCCCAACTCTTGAAAGACACCTAAACCTAAGCAGATCTCCAGATTTTCACCTGCGTGGCCATTTTCAGTGGTTCTATTTAGATGGAAGCTCTCTTTTAGGTTTGAATGGTTATGAAGATGAAATGCATAAATTATTGGAATCAGGTTAAGTTTTCCTCCTCTAGGCCACCCTAATGAGAGAGACCCCATCTAGTTGGGAGCTAGTGAGGAAGAGAAGCAGGACCAACATTTGATATGTGATCATAAGACTCACCCACTCTTAGAGCATTCCAATTAGGGCCTGCCAGCGGGGATAAAAAAAAATCATCAATTTCTCAAATAGCCTATAAGCCTAAAACCTAAAATGTGTTAAGAGACCAGTTGCTTTAGGGTAACAACTATTTATGCAAGTTTTTAGAAATTAAAATTGAACATCTTCTGTAATATTTAGTTGTAGATAACTCAGTATAGGTTCAGGTACCGAAACAAAATCAAGAGGACTATGAAATATAAGCAGTAAGAAATAGAGAATTTCTGTGTTTAGAATCCTCTAAATTTTCAGATATCACAGCATTCCTAGCTACATATTACATCAGAACTGTCTCTTCATTTGAAGCCAATCATGTCTACAGAAAATCCGGATAAAATTTTAAAGTAACTAGAAATCTAACACCAAATACATAAATTTTGTTCAAATTAACTACATTTTTCCTTTACTGATCTCTTAAGGTACAAGATTCTTAAACTAAGGATTAGCCATAAGCCTAATCAATAACAATCAGCTTTCTAACTCAGGTAAACTAATGAAATAGTAACAAAAATCAACTCATGGCTAACATTCCTATTCTAACTGAATATCAACAAACTCATACACTACAAATACAGAGCTCGTTGCCCTTCGAAGAGGAGGAATCACTGAAATATAACTGGCTCTGATTTCTAAAGATTATCAGACATACTTAAAAAAATATTTTAAATTCAATTTTTAAAGCTTTAAATTTTTTAGAGGTCGATTTCAGACTACAGGGGGAATCAGGCTACCTTTTTTTTTTTTTTTTAAAGCATCTTTAACTGGGTTTTAGCTGTAAAAGCAATAAATGTTTATAGTTAATTTGGTTTAAAGATAGTCTCACATGTTTTGTTTTTTTTTTTAAGATTTTATTTATTTTTTTGACAGATCACAAGTAGGCAGAGAGAGAGAGAGAGAGAGAGAGAGAGGAGGAAGCAGGCTCCCTGCAGAGCAGAGAGCCCGATGCGGGACTCGATCCCAGGACCCTGAGATCATGACCTGAGCTGAAGGCAGAGGCTTAACCCACTGAGCCACCCAGGCGCCCCGTGTCTCACATGTTTTGTTAAAAAAAACAAAACAGAGCACTTCCCAATAATTCCTGTGCTTTAAGGAGAAAAATAATTCAGAAGAGTCATGAAGTCTTTCCTATCTTCCCTCATTCTTATCCCCAGGCTCACAGGTAACCACTACAAACATATCACTCCCTCTAAAAGTTCCATGTACAAGTTCGTGGACACATAGACATATTTAATAAAATAAAGAACATTCACATAAATGGGATCATTCTAAAACTTCTTTTTTAACTTAACAATAAACCTTAGATATTTCCACAGTGGTGAATCTGCCTTTTTTTTAAGTATACCATTCTGTATGGATGCCCCATTATATGATAACCCTTATTACTCTCATGTTTTTAACTTAGTTCATATAAAACTAGTGTGATCATTGCTTGTAAAAGTCTGTAGCACAATAAGCGCAGTATTATGTCAGTAAATATCAGCTCCTTTTTTCCCCCTCAACAATCCACTTTCCAAAATGTTTTAATGTTCAAGTAAAATCTGGATGCCTGGGTGGCTCAGTGGGTTAAGCCTCTGCCTTGGCTCACTCGGGTCATGATCCCAGGGTCTTGGGATCCACCCCATATCGGTGGCCGGGGAGCCTGCTTCCCACCCCCCTCTCCCTGCCAGGTACTCTGCCTACTTGTGATCTCTGTCAAATGAATAAATAAAATCTTTAAAGAAAAAAAAGTTCAAGTAAAATCTTTTTTGTTTTTGTTTTTTTTTTTTTTTCAGATGTACAACATAGTGACATATATAGGACATATAGGACAACTATATGTTATGCTATGCTCACCGTGGGTGTAGCTACCATATAATGCTATTCAGTACCTCTGACTATATTCCCTAAGCTGTACCTGTCATCCCCGTGATTTACTCACTCCATAACTGGAAGTCTATTTTAATTCATATGTTACATTTATGGAAAAAGAGGAGAAAAGTCACAAAATATTGCAACTCCAAAATGGTTAGAAATCATTGTAATGCAGGGGGAAATGCTCACTATAGAACTCATCCCAATTAGGTAACATTTCTGTCTTCCAATGTTCTACTCTAAGTTTTTTTTAAATGGGGGCGGGGAGTTGAAAGCAACAACTTTCCATTGATTTCTAAATCACTGTTTTAGCCAGATTTTTACAATCATTTGCCTTTTTGAATCTTAAAGACTAACATGATCTGTGTTCTGCATCTAAGGAAAAAAATGGGGGGAGGGGGGTAACAAAATTGGTTAACTTCCCCCAAGGTCCACAATTTAACACCTGGGCCTTAAAGTGGTCTTCGATCCCCCAAGATCAATAGAACATACTGTCTCTGCGGGGCTGCACCGAGGCCAAATTCCCAGCATGCAGAACAAAAAGTAAATGATGCTTTGCTCAACTGCACCCCCCGCCCCCAAACTGCGAAAGGGCTGCGGCTCGTTGCATGACAGCACTTCCCTTTTTCTTTAAACCCATTTCCTGCCTCCCGTTCGGTATCGTCAATGATACAGGAAGAGGAAGGCCTCTGGGTCTTTCTCCTTTCTACAGAACCGGTGACCCTGGGGAATGGAACCCTTATCGAACAAACCTACCCAGTCTTTTACCCCTCCAGCCCTTTAGCCAAAGTGTCCCCATTCGGGCGCGGCGCCGGCCGCCGCCGGGCAGCAAGCTGGATCCCCCTCCAGTGTCGGCCTTTCCCACCGCCTCACCCCGAGTCGCGGAGGTGGCAGGATCGGGGAGACCAGAATGGGATCGGTCCGCTTACTCCCCACGCCCGCCAAGGCCGGAAGCGCTGCTCCGCGCCCCCTGGTCCCGGCTGCCCGAGGGCCCAGGGGTGCAACCCCTACCACCGAGGGCCCACGCGCCACTAGCACATCCCCGCCCCGGCTTGAGGCCACGACTTCCCCGCCGGCGCTTACCCCGGTGCCGTTGTCGCACACCACCACCTTCCTGCCCTGGCTGTCCATCGTCGGTCCGGAAGAGAGCCGCCGCCGCCGAACGACCTAATCCCCCACTGCCCGACCCTTTCCTGTTCCTCCTCCTTCTTCGCGGCCCCTCCTTCGGGCCAACTTTCTTCCCCCAACCGGAAGTCAACGCCCGGCCCCACCCGCCATTTAAGACACAGCCTGCACGGAAGGGGTGGGTGTGGGAGGGAGGAGGCCGAGACTGGCAGTAGTGAGACCCAATAAGAAACGTTTAAGTTTGAAGCCCCGCCCACAACTCCTGTTTCAGCTTCGGCTCCCTCTCAGCGGTCGTGGTCACCGCCCACCCAGCTTCTTCCTTATGGCTTCTAGTTCCTGGAGCTTCGCGGGGCTTTAATGGCGGCTGATTTAGTGGACGTTGAGGCCCAAGGCGCTGCAGGAGGTGAGGGCCTCCCTTATCCGTCTGCCAAAAAGAGGCAGGCAGGTGAAGGACACTGGATCTGTGCGAGATGGCAGTGGAATGTAGAGAGGAGACAGCCTGGAGGGTGGAAGGCAGGGGAAACAAACCTGGACATCTCTGTTGAACCCACCGTTGAGCATGGTTTGGTGTGTCATGGCTTCTAGGGCTCTTCAGGGAACAGAGCTGGGATGGATACACGCATATGAAGTCATGCGTTTATACTGATACCTCCAATTCCAGTCCAACCCTTTTTTGCCCAATTTGCCCTTAGTCAAGAGAGCAGGAGTGGACACCTATCTTTTCAGGCCCCTCGTTCACCAGTTCTTGTCCAGCAGCACCATGTTTCTTCGCACCTCTTCACTGTATGTACCTATTTGAACCCAGAGTCTCGACTTTGAAATCAGACAGCCTCAGTTTCAAATATGGCTCTGCCACTCAAGGATTCTGTGATTTGGATTTATCTTTGCCTATGCATACGAATACTAACCTCTACTTCCACGGGTGGTTGTGAAGGTAAAAGTCTATGCATGGAGTATCTATCTATTCAGTGGTAGTTATTGATTATTATTTACATACTTCTAAATGTATAGTTCTTTCTACGTATAATGCCTCTCCTTTTTTTTTTTTTTAATCAATCAGGAGACTTCTCATGCTCTAAGATCCAGTTGTCACATCTATGAAGACTTTGCTGATAACCATCAAGAGGCTCCTTACTCTTTCTTCACTAATTAGTTTACCATGGACATATGAATAATATTCTTGTGCTTTTGACATTCAACAAATTTTGGATGAGTGATGTTAAAATTTATCTTGAAAAAATGCCAGCATTTTTGAGAGGTGAGAACTAGAATTGTGCCTTCCACATGGCTGTACATGTGCACTGACTAGATTAAAGCTTGGATCATAAACCCCTCAGTCCTAGTATTCTAATACTAGGCTGCCTCTCAGTTCTCACTTTGTTCTTTTATTAGACCTGTCGTTTTCAAACCTTTATAAGGGCTTAGGCAGCTTTATTTGAATTTAATCTTTCTAAAAAAAAAAAAAAAAGATTTACTTATTTATTTATTTTAGAGAGTGTGTGCAGGATCATGGGAGGTGCAGAGGAAGAGAGAGACTCCTCAAGCAGACTCCCCGCTGAGTGTGGAGCCTGATGCTGGCAGGGCTCAATCCTAGGACCCTAAGATCATGACCTCAGTCGAAATCAAGAGTCCACCACTTAACTGACTGAGCTGTCCAGGTGTGCCCCCTCAAATTAATCTTACATGGAACCTCAACATATAAAATAAATTAAAGCTGCCATAGGAGTGAAAAGTTTGAGAAATTAGAATGGATAGAAGGCTTCAGGGAAATATGTCTTCTCTGCACCTGTTTCAGTAGTTGTTGAGGTACCTTAGCCTGCTGAATAGTGCATTAGTTCACAAATTACACATCTGCCTTTTGTGGCCCCAGTGCCTGGCGCTGTAAAATTTTCCCGGAAGTATATTTATTTGGTCTCAGCAAATTGAACTCAAGTATTGCTGTGTCCTTTTATTTTTCCTCTCTGTGCTTTTTTTTTTTTTTTTTTTACTGTTTAAGAGATTATATTTTGGGTTTTTTTTCTGATTATAAAAATAGTACATGCAGATGACAGAAAATATCAACAAATATCCATTTGTTATACTAATGGAAATGCAGCAAACCCTTGACCATGCAAATTCAGATGCAGCACTACTGGTGACTGGTTCCTACCTTCTATACCAGGTGAAACCTGATCATTTCACTTTCCTCAAAATAATGTGATTACATATTTTAGGTGATTATTTTGGGGGAGGAGGAGAGGGAGTCTTCATATCTATCCTCTTTCATGGTTTTTTGTATATTATTCCACACAAAAATCTTACTAAACAGATATTCCCATTTTACACATGAAAAATGAGGGCTTGGGGTGCCTGGGTGGCTCAGTGGGTTAAGCCTCTGCCTTCAGGTCAGGTCATGATCTCAGGGTCCTGGGATCGAGCCCCGCATCGGGCTCTCTGCTCAGCGGGAAGCCGGCTTCCCCCTCTCTCTCTGTCTGCCTACTTGTGATCTCTCTCTCTCTGTCAAATAAACAAATCTTAAAAAAATAAAAAGAAATGAGGGCTTTAAAATATTAAGTCCTGTAAGGTCATAGGATATGAAGTATATATAACAGATACCAGTATGTTGTTTCTTGTCATCAGTGAATATTCTGAAGTTGAAAGAATATTAGAAAAATCCAAATGAATTTAATACAAGACCGATACACTGAAAACTACGAAACATTGTTTAGAAAAATTAAAGAAGATCTAGATAAGTAAACATACCATGTTCATGGATTGAACACTCATTGGTTTGGTTTGGTTTTTAAAGATTTTATTTATTTATTTAACAGAGAGATAGAGAGGACAAGTAGGCAGAGTGGCAGGCAGAGGGAGAGGAAGAAGCAGGGTCTCCACTGAGCAGGGAGCCCAAAGCAGGGCTTGATCCCAGGACCCCAGGATCATGACCTGAGCTGAAGGCAGCTGCTTAACTGACTGAGGCCTGCAGGTGCCCTGAACACTCATAATTAAGATGACAGTTCTCTTCAAATTGCTCTGTAAATTGAAATGTAATCTCTATCAAAACCCCAGCAGCCTTTTTTTTTTTTAAGAAACCAACAAGTTTGATCCTGAAAGTTACATGGAAATGCAGAATAGCCAGAATAGCCAAAACAATTTTGAAAAGGAAAAGCAAAAGTGGCAGACTTCCACTGATTTCAAAACTTATTATAAGGTACAGTAATGAAGACAGTATGATATTTTCACAAGGATGGACATATAAATCAATGGTACAGAATAGACAGCCCAGAAATAAACTTACATTTATGGCCAATTGGTTTTCAACAAATCTGCTGAAACAATTCAGTGGGGAAAGGGCAATTTTTTTTTAAACAAATAGTACTTGGGCAACTAGATATTCTTATATGTGGAGAAAAAAAAGAACTTTGATCCTTGCTTTACACTATACACAAAAATTAATTCAAATGGATCATAGATTTAAATTTAGAAGAGCAGGTGAGCCTGGCTGGCTCAGTTGGAGGAGCATACAACTCTTTGTCTTGAGGTTGTGAGTTTGAGCCCCACATGGAGTGCAGGGATTATTTTTAAAAATCTTTTAAAAGTTAAGGTGGGGCGCCTGGGTGGCTCAGTGGGTTAAAGTCTCTGCCTTGGGCTCAGGTCATGATCCCAGGGTCCTGGGATCAAGCCCCGCATCGGGCTCTCTGTTCTGTGGGGAGCCTGCTTCCCCCTCCCCCTCTGCCTGCCTCTCTGCCTACTTGTGATCTCTGTCTGTCAAATAAATAAAATCTTTTAAAAAAAATTAAAGATAAAAATAAATAAATTTAGGAGAGCTAAAACTATAAGTTCTGGGAAAAAAAGATGAGAAAAATCTTTTGTTGTTAAGCAAAGATTGCTTAGACATAACACCAAAATCATGATTCATAAAATAAAAAAATGATAAATTGGACTTAACAGAAATTTAAAAGTTTAACTCATGTATTAAGAAAACCAAAGGACAAGCCACAGACCAAAAGATTTTTGCAAATTATATATTCAACAAAGAACTTGTATCCAGAATAAATTAAGAACACATAATAATAATAAGATAAATTATCTAATATTAAAAGTGGGTGAAAGATTTGAATAGGCATTTCACCCAAGAAGTTTTATGAATGACTAATAAGCACATGGAAAGATACTCAACGTCATTAATCATTAGGGAAATATAAATTAAAACCATAATGAAAGTGGTGGCCTGCAGGCAGTAAGGCCACAGGTGGACTGGGTCTTATGCTCCTCCACCAGACTGGTAATGCCCCACCAGGCACTCCAGCTGGGACCACTGGGCAGGCTGCCCTCAAGGCCAGTGAGAGCTGCCAGGCAAGAGCCTTGCACTCCTGCACAGTTTTGGCATTTTCTTGCAGGGGCTGCTCTGTGCAGTGGCCTTTGGCATGTTGGTGCTCAAACCTAAGAACCAAAGCATGAAAGAAGTCCCTAGAGTATATGGTTTTTAGACACTTCCAAACAAGTCATAGGAATATTACTCATCCACTTTGCAAATGTGTACCTAGCAGATCTCATCAAATAGGACCCTTGTTCACTTCAGCTTTCTCTTGAGACACAACTGTTAGCAAGTTGCTCATCTCTGTGGACACGCAAGCCATGAGCATCTTAGTTGAGTAGCAGCAGTGGGAGCCCCTGCATTTGGACAAATGTGGAGACCCGCTGCAGTGTGGAGCCCAGGTCCAGCAGTGTGCTTTTACATCTTGATCATGATTTTTGGGAAGTCACCTTCATCGTCCTCATACTTCAGTGGAAAAAGGTGGCCCATTGAGTCCCACTGAAAACCCGGATCTGAAATTGGCCATCATCATGCTGATTGCCCTTTTCTTTGTTAATGCTTTAATGTTTTGGGTAGTAGACTACACTCTTAAGAAGTTGAAGAAAGAATACAATATTTTACAAAACCATAGTATCATTGTATCTAGGAAAAATTAGCAGTAACTCCATATCATCTAACATTCAGTCCATATTTGTATTTCCCTAGTTGTCCCTACCATGTTTATAGCTGTTTTTCTTCCTAAACCAAGATCCAATCAGGGCTCAGATATTATGTTTGTTGTTATGTCTCTCTCTT